TTCAGCCCAAAAAGTGGGCTGAAAAACTAGGCTTATACTCGAGTATATACAGTAATATTCAAAATTATTTGGGGATATCTTTTACACCAGCGGCCCCCAACTTTTCGGGCACCAGGGACCGGTTCTGTGGAGAGAGGTTTTTCCGCAGACTGGAGGGGGTGTGGTTTTGCATGCTCCCTGCATCCCATGGATGGGGCTTTGCTTGTTTGTGTGGACCCGTTGCCACGGCATGCGTGGACCAGCATGCCACGGACTGGTTGGGGACCCCTGTTTTACATCTCAATTTAGAAAAAGAAATATTAGAGGAAGAAAGAACTATGCTGCTTCGTAATGTCCTCACTCCCAAAGTGAGTTTACTATTTAAGCCCAATATTTTCCAAGTGTCACTCAAGATTCAAAACAGCATTTAGGTTATTAAACAGTGTTTATTAAAACACACAATAAAGAAAAAACAGACAAATGTGTAGAGAAAAAGGAATAGTATTAAAATATACATATGAACCAAGAAACAATAACTGGAGTAATTCTTAAATGGAGACTGAAGATCAGGGAAAGGATTTAGGTAAGGAACTCCTTTAAAATAAAACAAAATGCAGTATTTTCTCTCTATTATGTCACCTAGAAATCACCATACATTCAATTCCTTCCGGCATCTTAGGAAATGATGTTCCATAATCCTGGAAGTAAGGGACATGGTGGCTCAGTGGCTAAGACGCTAAGCTTGTTGATCAGAAAGGTCGGCAGTTCAGCATTTTGAATTCCCTAGTGCCGCGTAATGGAGTGAGCTCCCGTTACTTGTCCCAGCTTCTGCCAACCTAGCAGTTTGAAACCACGTAAAAAATGCAAGTAGAAAAACAGGAACTTTGGTGGGAAGGTAGCAGTGTTCCGTGCCCCTTTGGTCTTTAGTCATGCCAGCCACATGACCACAGAGACATATTCGGACAGCGCTGGATTTTTGGCTTTGAAATGGAGATGAGCACCATCCCCTAGTGCTTGGGAACGACTAGCACATATGTGCGAGGGGAACCTTTACCTTTAATCCTGGAATTGGCTTAAATTCCTTCTTTATTCCCAAACAGCCATGCTACTCCAGCAAAATCTTCCTTCTTCCTTCACTACTGTACAGTACTCAATGGGAGATATTCACTTTATTAGTGGTAGAGAAAATCAGTCCATAGGCCAAACATAGGCATAATCCGATGCTCCTATTACTAGAAGTGCCCACTACTTACTTAAATACATTTGATGAAATATAAGCCAAAGATCAATAAGAGGTGATTTCTTGAAATCTGAGAGCAATATTTAGAAACATATTTTAATTTACGCTGAAATAGGGAAGGTAGTTCTCATGTTATTTCTTATTTTTAAGAGGGGCATTTGCATAATAACATAAACTGTACTTAAACAAGTGTATGGAGCTATTGATCAATTAATCTCAGCCATTGTTTCTGAAGTTCATAGATCAAGATTTTTGTTCAGTTTCTTGTTTTTACCAGATACAGAAATTAAAATTCATTTTTCAAAAACATTTGCATTCTTCTAGCATTGTTTTGAGCTACTCTGAACATTATCTAGGTTCAAAAACCATATGAATATTAATAATTGTGAACTATGAAAACTCCTTTTGCTTGAATAATGGCTGCTTCAGATTTCCCTTTTTATTATTAATGGTTGTAGGAGCACTTTTTGATCTTTTTAAGGGACATTATAAGTTTTTTTCAGTCTCTGGAATATGACTACAGTGCATGGTTTCTAGGAGCATACTGTACCTAGCCGAGATTAGAAACTGTTCATTAGCATCCTTAAATTCAGTTGACCATTGAGATATCATTATAAGCTTTACAAAATAATTTTTGAAACAGTAGTATAAAGACAAACATTCAAGAGTTTTACAGTTCATTGTGGCTATGCCGATATTGTTTGTGAATATAAAGGCATGGAATTTGGTTTTAAAAAAATTATATTTCTTGATATATTTACCAATCTGAAGGATCTTAGAACAGACAACCCTTCCACATTTGCAAGACCCAACTCCATCAAACTCAGGCTGACTATGATGCCATCGAANAAGCCTACAAACTTGAAATTCAGGACATATGTTCCTCTTGGCTTTTAGGTGTTCGCTAAGAAAGGATTTTTCAAAATGACCATCAGATCATCAGTATTTCTTATACAGTATTATGTTAACACGCATCAATGCTAAGGAGTTAGATATTCTACTCCCCCTCCTCACCTGAAAGAAACTCTGTTCCAACTGCCAGTTGCCTTATATGGGTGTGGCCAGCACATGACTCATACAGCTTGCGGGCTGGGAATTTAGACATTTTACTCCCCCTCCCCACATGAAAAGAAATCTGTTCCAACTGCCAGTTGCCTTATATTAACACACTCTGATACTAAAGAGTTACATATCCTATATTAATTTTCAATCTTTAAGTGTCAATTTATCAAACCTGATCACATAGTTTTGTAGTGAAGCACGGGTATCCAGCTAGTAAAATAAATAAATGAAACATACACACCAATTTTCGGTGGGTTAAAAAATAGAACACCCAAAGCAAAAGTTCTGGTCTCCTTGCTTTGTGCTATAATATTTTTAATAAAAACATTAAATTCATATGCTACCCAATTCCCAGTGAATTTGGGTGGTTTATGACTGGAACATAGTTTTGTTGTGTTAGTTTTAACCTGGGAAACATTAAAAATATGACACCTCTTAATCAGTACATTCCATTCTGAGGACCTCACTATATATACCCTAGTCTGCAGAACAGTAATTAGAATCAATACACTCCACATATTTATTGATGTTCCTATTCTGCTTTGATTTGTGTATTCTTTTATTAATACTATTAACACAGTACTATACATAAAATATCTAGTTGTTCCTTATGCAACAAAGTTTGATCTAATTAAACAAAGCAGTTTCATTCTTATCTATGTTTTATTTTCCCAATTTCTCTAAATAGGTAAAATCTTATATAGGGCAGTCATGTTTTTTAAACAAAGTTTTAAAGCATCCAGAAAAAGGAACTGCTGTCATATAGTCAAGAGCTCCCTTTTGATCTTTTAGCTGTTTCTGGCTCTTAATGAGACAAGTTGTTTTCACACTGTGTGATGGCTTGCTTCTTTTGCTATCGGAATGATTTTTAGGAGATCATTCAAACAAAACTCCTGTGGTCAGTCAGCCAGTATATTTGAAAGCTAAATCAAGCAAATGTGAAAAAAGCGTTAGCTATAGGTCGTCCTCAACTTACAACAGTTCATTTAGTGACCGTTCGAAGTTAAGACCTTTGCAACATCTCCATTTTGATCACATGATCAAAATTCAAATGCTTGGCAATTGACTCATATTTATGACAGTTGCAGTATCCTGATATTATGTGGTCACCTTTTGCAAACTTCTGACAATCAAAGTCAATGGGGACGTTCACTTAACAACCTTGTTAATAAATTAACAAATGCAGTTAACTGTGGCAAGAAAGGTCGTAAAATGGGGCAAATGTCACTTAACAAATGTCTCAATTAGCAACAGAAATTTTGGGCTCAATTGTGGTTTTAAGTCGAGGACTACCTGTACTTATATGAAGGCAAAGTTAAATATGTACATAATTAAAGTCAACTAATTAAATGGAGGATGAAAGCATGTCTATGTTCCTGCCTTATGTTCACCTTTAATTTTAAAACAGTTAACAAATTAATAGGCTCTTCATCTAGGCTACCGCTTAAGAAGTTTTCATAAGTAATGAATATTGCACTCTTTTGTAGGTAATAGCAGAAATAGTCCCAATAAATGCTGTAATGTATAAATATATTGCGGATTTCAGTTGATGCATGCCCTTACTTCCTTATTTCGTTTAACTCTTGCTGGTGCATGTGTGTGTGTTGACACAATTTCAAGTTTATCATCACAAAATATTTCTTCCAAACTGCTGCCTACTGTTTTGTTCTGATGCAGGACGACGGTGGATTCAGTAAAGTCAGACTGCATTGGGTCAATACTTTCTTTAATTTTGGAAGAACAACTTGAAGAGAGCATTGCAGGGTGAGTACCCAGTTCTGATTCTCTTCCTTCCATGTTTTTGCATACTGCAGAGAAAAGTCCATTTTCTCCCCAGGAGCTAATTTATGCTTTCAATAATCAGTTATGCTAAATGCATTCACATCGAGGGGGGTTGTGTAAAGCCTAAGAAGAAATTAAACCAATCTTCAGTCTAGTGACTTTTCTATTGATAACACACAGTTAGTGTATTGGATATAAAAATGCAGAGCACTCACCACTAAATTTCCAATCACCATGACCAACATGAAAACAATAAGGCACATGGTTTGGCCTGCAACCTCCATACAGTCCCACATGGTTTCTATCCATTCTCCGCAAAGAACTCGGAACACGATCAAGAAAGAGTGGAAAAAATCATTCATGTGCCAGCGAGGGAGTTCACAATCTTCTGCGATCTTGCACACACATTCCTTGTAGCTTTTACCAAAGAGCTGCATACCAACCACAGCAAAAATGAAGACAATGATGGCCAGGACCAAAGTCAGATTTCCCAAAGCACCAACAGAGTTGCCAATAATTTTGATCAGCATATTTAACGTTGGCCAGGATTTTGCTAATTTGAAAACACGAAGCTGAAAACCAGAAGTAAAGAAATACAATTATTACCGTATATACTCGAGTATAGGC